GCTCATGCTCTGTCTCCCTCTCTCAGAAATAAATTAAAAAAAAAAAAAAAAGTCAGGGGCACCTGGGTGGCTCAGTCAGTTAAGTATCTAACTTCAGCCCAGGTCATGATCTCCCGATTCAGGAGTTCGAGCCCCACATTAGGCTCTGGGGTGACAGCTGAGAGCCTGGAGCCTGCTTTGTATTCTGGCTGGCTGTCTCTCTGTCTCTCTCTCTGCCCCTCCCACACTTACAGTCTGTCTCTCTCTCTCTCTCAAAAATAAATAAACATTTAAAAAAAATGTCAGCAGGGAAGTTTTCCACATCAATTGACTTTTCCTGTTGCAGTTTCTCTACAGCAGGCGATGCTGTTTCATACCATTTTACCCAAGTAGACTTCTTTCAAAATTGGAGTCAATTCTTTCAAATCCCGCTGCCTTACTAAATTCATGGGATAGTCTCCATCCTTTGTTGTCATTTCCCTGGTATTCACAGCATCTTCCCCAGGAGTCGGTTCCATCTGAGGAAACCGCTTTCTTTGCTCTTCCTTCAGAGGTGAGTCTTCATCCATTACAGTTTTATCGTGAGAGCGCAGCAACTTATTCCCATCTTCAGGCTCCACTTTTTAAAATTTTTTTTAATGTTTTATTTATTTCTGAGAGAGAGAGAGAGAGAGAGAGCAGGGGAGGGCGAGACACAAGGGGAGATACAGAATCTTAAACAGGCTCTGAGCTAGCTGTCAGCACAGAGCGTGACGCGGGGCTCAAACCCACGAACCGGGAGATCGTGATCTGAGCTGAAGTCATAGACTTAACCGACTGAGCCCCCCAGGCGCCTCGCAGGCTCCACTTCTAACTGAGGTTCTCTTGCTGTTTCCACCACATCTGCAGTTACGTCCTCCACCAAAGTCTGGAACCCCTCACCGTCATCCATGAGGGTCATAATCAGCTTCTTCCAAACTCCTGTTAATGTGGATATGTTGACCTCTTCCCATGAATCCTGAACGTCCCCAGTGGCATCTAGAATGCTGAATCTTTTCCAGAAGCTTTCAGTTGACTTTGCCCAGATCCATCAGAGGAATCTCTGTCTGCGGCAGCTACACACTTAAGAAATGTATCCCTGTACTGCTAAGACTTGAAAGTTGAAATTACTCCTTGATCCGCGGGCTGCAGGATGCGTGCTGTGTGTACAAACAGGAAAACAACGTGCCTCTCGTGGTGCGTCCCCCTCGGAGCTCTAGGGCGGCCAGGTGCGTCGTCAGCGAGCAGTCACGTTTTGAAAGGATCTTTTTTCCTGAGCAGCAGGTCTCCGCGGTGGGCTTAGAATATTCAGTAACCCCGCTGTCAGCAGGCGTGCTGCCCTCCAGGCTCCGCTGCTCCGCTTCTGGAGCACAGGCAGGGGTTCGGCGACAGTCTTCAGGGCCCTGGGGCTTCCAGAGCGGTCACTGAGCACTGACTTGCACCTAAGGTCACAGCTGCCTTCGCCCCTAGCAGGGCTCGGCCTGTGCTCGGAAGCTCTGAAGCCAGGCGTCGGCCTCCCGTCTCTGGCGATGAGAGCCCTACGTGCATCTGCTTCCTGCAGGAGGCGGTTGTGTCGACCCCGGGAACCTGTTCGGTGTCGCCACCTCCACGCGGGGCCCCAGCGAGGCCTGGAAAACCTGCTGTGGCTTCTCCATCAGCACGTGCTGCTTCGCCTTGCATTGATGTTGTGGAGACGGCTTTCCTTCAGCCTCCTGAGCCACCACTGGCGGCTTCAGCCCGGTCTTCTGCAGCCTCCACGCCTCTCTCAGCCTTCACAGGACTGAAGGGAGTCAGGGCCTTGCCCGGGAGCAGCGCTTCCAACATCCTTCACGAACTCCTCCTTCGCATTTGCACCCTCCTGTCTGGCACCACAGGCCCAGCTTCTGGCCTGCTCGGCCTTCGACACGCCTTCCTCTTGGAGCTTACTCACTTCTCGCTTACTCTGATTTACAGGGAGAGACGCGTGACTCTGCCTCTCGCCAGGACACTCGGAGCCACTGCAGGATGTCGACGGGCCTGATGTCACTACTGTTGTGTCTCCGGGAACAGGGAGGCCCAAGGAGAGGGAGAGAGATGGGGACGGCCGGTCGGTGGAGCGGTCGGAACACACACACACACAACATTTATTAAGTTGCCGTCTTAGGAGGGTGTGGTTCGTGGCGCCCCAAAACAACGACAATGGGGACATCAAAGATCGCTGTTCACAGACCACCAACACAAATATAATAATCATGATAAAGCTTGAAGCACTGGGATAATTACCAAAACGTGACCCAGAGACACGAAGTGAGCAAATGCTGTTGGGAAAAACGGCACCAGTATATTTGCGTGATGCAAGTTTGCCCAAACCTTCAGTCTGTAAAAACCACAGTGTCTGTGCAGCGCCATGAAGAAGGTGTGACAAGAGGAAACGTGTGTCTATTGTGTGTAATTCAAACTTCTCCCAACTCTTTGTGGGCTCTGGGAATTAATGTAACACCTCAATTTATCCACATTTCTTTATTTTATTTTTTAAATTTTATCTCAATCCAAGTTAGTTAACATATAGTGTAGTAATGGTTACAGGAGTAGAACTTAGTGATTCATCACTTACATAGAACACCCAGTGCTCATCATTTATCCGTATTTCACAATACATGAACATCACTGGATGATACATCCAGTAACATCCCCAACCAGATGGTGATCATCTGCTTCCACTGCCTCAGTCTTTGAAATAACGTGCATGCAGCCCACGCTCAGAAGGGAGAGGACCCTGCAGTTTGCCCCTCTGCCCTGTGCTCTCCTGGCGCCCCCAACCCGCTCTCCCCATCCTCATGGCCCCCAAAGTGGACGTCTGAAATGCAATTGATTTATATATATCTTAATGTTTGTTTATTTTCATGAGAGAGCGAGCATGAGTGGGGAAGCGGCGGCGGGGCGGGGGGGCAATCCCAAGCAGACCCTGCTCTCCGATGTGGAACTTGAACCCATGAACAGTAAGATAATGACCTGAGCCAAAACTGAAGATTCAGAGGCTTAATCAACTGAGCTCCCTCAGGCACACCCAGAAATGCAATTCATTTTTGGACATTTATGCTGTGTCCAGTGACATTGCATTAATCCTTTACAGATTAGAATGTTGAATCTTTTTTTTTTTTAATTTTTTTAACATTTTATTTATTTCTGAGAGAGACAGAGAGAGAGAGAGAGAGACAGCGTGAGCAGGGGAGGGTCAGAGAGAGAGGGAGACACAGAATCTGAAGCAGGCTTCAGGCTCTGAGCGGTCAGCACAGAGTCCGACACGAGGCTTGAACCCATGGACTGAGATCATGACCTGAGCCAAAGTCGGACGCTCAACCGACTGAGCCACCCAAGCACCACACTGTTTCTTCTTTTAATGTTTGAATTGTATTGATTGATTTTGAATATGAAACTCACCAGGCATTCCTGAAGAAAAAAAATACCTGCATGGTCATGATATGTTACCTGTTTTATAAATCGCTGAACCTCGTCCGTGGATATTTTGTTTAGAGATCTATACCCGAGTCCCCGCGACAGAGCTCACCGTGATTTTCCCATTTTGTAGTTTCCTTGTCAGGTTTTCATGTTAATGTTTTTCTGCCCTGATAAAATGTGTCAAGGGAGCATTCCTTTTTTCTATGTTCTCTGGGGAAGCCTGTGTAAGCTTGGTATGCATATGAGTGTTGTGTTCATTTGTGTGTTCACATGTGTGCTCATGTGTTTGTGCATGTAGGTGTGTCCATATGTCCACATGTGCATGTATGTGTTCACTGGTTCTTGTGTGTAAGTGTATTCCTATGTTCATGTGTGTAGGTGTTTCTGTGTGTGTGCTCAAGTGTGCCTTCCCATGTATGTAAGCCTGTCCTGGTATCTATGTGTGCATGTGTTTCTGCATATATGTGTTGATGTGCTCACATGTATGTTCACATTTTTGTGTATATGTGTGTGTTCACATGTTTCTGTGCGCTCACGTGTTCGTGTGTATGTAGGTCTGGCTGTGTGTATGCATGTGTATTCACATGTTTGTATGTGTTCACATGTTCACGTGTTATGTAGTCTGTCCATGTGTCTGTGTGTGTTCATGTGCATGTAGGTGTGTCCACGTGTCTCTGTGTGCATATGTGTTAACATGTTTGTGCATATATGTGTCCTTGTGTTCAAATGTTGTGCACACTCACATGCATGTAGGTGTGCCCATGTGTCTGTGTGTTCATGTGTGTTCACGTGTTTGTGTGTATATGTGTATGTATACGTGCCTGTGTGTCCATATGTGTGTTTGCATGTTCACATGTAGGTAGGTGTGTCCATGCACATGTGTGTGTATTTCATGAATGCATCAGTGTTTGGAAGCATTCGCCAGTCACACTTTCCAGACTCAGTTCCCTTTGTGGAAAAAACTTTAATTGTGTATTCAGCATACTTTATCCATACAGCAATTAGAGTTTCTATTTATTCCTATTCCATCATTTTGGTAAGTTGCATTTTTAAGGATTTTGTCCATTTCCTCTACGTTTTCTAATGTATTAGCATTAAATCATTCATAATATAAATATAAGTAACAAAAATAAATGTAATACATTCTGTGATGTATTTAAAGTCTATAGGATGTGATTCTGTCCTCACAATGATAATGTGTGCCCTCTCTCTCTCTACCCCTCTCTCTGTCTGTCTTTCTTGGCATTGTGGCTAGGACTTATGAAAGTGTTTTCAAGAATGAACATTTAGGACTTTATTGATTATGCTCTATTTTTGTTTGTCCTCATTAGTAGGTATTCTTATTGCTAAAATTTCCTTCCTTCTACCTTCACTAGGAATAATTTGCTATTTTTTTCTATTTCTATTCTATTGGTACAGTAGTTTGGATCATGACTTTTTAGGCTTTTTCTTTTCTAATGCCTTCGTTCCTGGTTCTAAATTTTCCTGTGGCACAGGTCTGATGTGTAACATTTACATTATCATTCAGTGTAAACATTCTCCCATTTCCATTTTCGTTTTCTCACTTCATTCGTGGATTATTGAGAAGTCCGTTGCTTTATTTCCAAATACAGGCGCACAGCTATGTTTGATGGCAGAATCCGGTGGCTCCCAGAGGGTCCCACGGGTTCCTACTGGTCTATGTTAGGAGTCCAGGCTGGCTGGGGCCATCAGGTGGCCTGTGGGCAGTTCCTGTGCCTCCTGCGGTCCCTGCGGTCCCCTCCCTGGAGTGTGGCGTGCGGGTCCTTCCTGGGCTAGTGGATGGCCAGAGCAGCATACACACTGGGCTCTTCTGGGGGCTCCCCGAATTGGGAGGAATGAGGTGCACTCGTCTCCCGTCTGAGTGTCAAACGGTTCAGCTGAGCGTAGGTCACATCCGGGGGGGCGTCAGATGCAGTGGCCTGCAGTGGGGGGGGGTGAGAGGGAGGTGTGTGGTTGGGGTGGGGGTGGGGAGCCTGGGAGCCTGAAGGACCTACCTGACTGTCCATCTGCCTGTCTTGCTCTTCTTGTCTGTCTTCTGTGTCTGGCAAGTCCCCCAACAGGGGGGAAGGAGAACTGGCCAGTCCCCGACTGAGTCTTCATCTTGAGTGGCTCACCTGGGCATACGTCATTCCTTGGGGGTCTGCATCCTGTGTGTTCCGCTGGAGGCAGACAGTGAGAGGGAGATTTGTCTCCTTGATTCCACTCAGTGGCCTCAGTGAATTTTCCACACTGTTGCCAGAGCCGCTTAGGTCAAGTTCCTGGTGGACTCTTGAGGGACTTCCTGAGCCTTGGGGCATCTGGATGCTTTCTAGGGCTCAGAATCTATTCCTGACACTGTTTCCTGCTCATTTGGCTCCCATCACATGGCCTGTCTTCCCCCATCTTCCTGAAAAAGCATGTTGCAGCCTCAGGACCTTTGCACCTGCCACCCCCAGCTCTTGCTTTCCTTTCCTTAGCCACACTCTGCACTCAAGGACACTGCCCACGTCCTTGCCCACAAGGGGAGCTCGCAGAGTGTGGGTCACATTTGCTCACTGTTGTGCCTGCAGCACTAGGTGGGGCCTGGTACACAGTGGGCCTCTGTGCACGTTTGATGGGCAAATGAATGAAGGGGCCTAGAGACCTGCGGGCGATTCCTTTGTTCATGCACCCTCTTGAGACCTGGGCATGCCCCCCAACAACCAGGAGTCAGACAGCCGAGAGGAGGCAGTCAAGGGGGCAGGTAGGAGGCCCTTCGAGGTCACAGCCAGAGGAGCCAGGGTGCCCAGGGAGAGAGAGGCCGTCTGCGGGACACTGCTAAGCTGGGTGGTGTGAGGACCAGGCCTGTCCATCGGTTCAAGTTCGCACCGGGAGGGCCCTCGGGGTCTAGGGGGGCAGGGGGCTCACCCGCTGGTCCAGCTCCACACCCTCCTCAGGCTGTGTGTCTTGCACGGCAGCATCTGCTGGGCAGAGGGGGTGCATCTCTTGGCAAGGTCCCCTGAGCTCTCTCAGGGCGCAGACCCCACCCTCCCGGAAGGGGCGGTGGCGATCCAGGTGAGGGGCCGAGGTCACACAGGCCCCGCCCCACCCCCCAGGGCGGCCCCATTGCTCTCACAGAGGGTCTCCTCCTGGGCGGCAGCAGCTGGCCTGGAGCTGGGGAGGAGATGGAGAGGGGGTTAGGGGGCATAAAGGGCAGAAGGGTGGGGGTCTGGGGTCTTCGGGCACAGGTTACCTGTCCTGCAGGCCTCTGTCCTTGGGCTCCGGGTCTGCGGCCCCTGCAGGAAGTTGGGAATCAGCCTCGCCCTGGGCTGGGAAGTTAGGACCCCACCCCAGGCCCGACCCCTTCCTAGCTGATCCCGGGGGAGAGGGGCCCCTAGGACTCACCGCCTGCGCTTCCCCATCTCCCGACGCGGAAGCGGGGAAACACCTTACACTGGCGCCCGGGGCGGCCTTAGGGGTCTTCTCTCTAGACGCTCTGACGGGAGACTCTGCAGACCGTCTTCCTACGCCGGCCCTTCCCGCGGCTGGTGCCCCTCTGCCCTGCGCCGCCCTCACCCGCGGGAGGGTCCCCACCCCCTGGGGCTGGTCACCCCGTCCCTTCTCACCCGGCTTCCTGCCTGCGCCCCGACGCCGGCGACGGACGAGGACGACCAGGAGGCAGAGCAGCAGCGCCAAGGCCCCCGCGGCCCCGATGAGGACGTACAGGTACCAGGTGAGGCCTTGGGCACAGGCACACCGCGAATGAGCCGGTGATGCGGTTTAGCTGAGCGCCTACTGTGTGCCAGGCACGTGCTGCCTGCCCACCCACCCCACAGACAGGAAACTGAGGCCCAGGGAGGCTGATCACGTGTCCCAGGGGGCCCAGCGTGGGGGCGGCAGGGCGGGGACAGGACCGGGCTGTGGGCGCCCTGTGCTCTCCTCACGCTGCCCCCAGGCCGACACCAGCGGGGGCTCTGGGCTCCTCGTCTGCAGGCGGGTGTGTCCCAGCCCCTCTGTCTGGGGCTGAGGGTCCTTCCACATTCCCCTTATTACCGGAAGTCCCAGCCACTGTCCTCCCGCCCCTCCCCCACAGGGTCATCGTCACTGCCGCAGAGGGTCAGGCCCCCATAGGATCAGGACCTGGAGGGGCTTCCCCGTGAGCCCTCCTCTCCCAGGGGGTCGGAGCCACCATCAGAACTAAGGGGAAATCTAATCTGGGCACAGCTCTCTCCTTTACACGTGGGGAAACTGAGGCCCAGACCGGGGAGGGGGGTGTCCAAGCCAGTGTCTCAGAGGTGCCTGAACCGACGGCATGCCTCACCCCTGCTCCCATAGACCCACCCGCCTCCTCCTGACAGACCCTCACTTACCCACGGAGGCTCCTGGGGTCAGGAGAGGGGTAGGGGTGGGGCTTCCCGCCAAGCTGGGCCCCCACCCTCTTCCTGTGCCATGACCACCCCAGCCCTCCTCCCCCCACCCCTGGGCCCAGAGCCCCTGGCCTGGGGGTCGCCCTGGCCTCTCTGAAACCCCAGGACAGAATCCCCCGTGACTCACCAGCTGCTGAGCCGGGACCTGTGGGGGAGGGGCCGGGGTCTCCCGAGGGCTCTGGGGAAACAGGCCATAGCTGAGGAGAGGGCTCAGCTTCACAGTCTCCTCCCTCCTGTGCTCTGTGGCCCCAGGGCCCTCTTCCACCTCCTGGAGAATCCTGGTGACAGGGACGAGGGAAGGGGCAGGGAGGGAGGGGCCTGTGTCCCTCCTGAGCTCTGAGGGGTGGCCCCCCTGGTGACACTTCCCCAGAGCCCCTTCCGTCACGTCCACCCAGGGCTCTCCTGGGCACAGGCCCTGAAGTCAGCGCTGGGACACAGACGAGACAGGGCTGGGGCCTCACCTGAGACCAGCAGCTCCAGGGGCTCACTGGGCTGTGACAGCAGGTAAGGGAAGGCGCTGTATGAGCCATAGCACCTATAGGTCCCCCCCTGGGCTGAGGTCACAGGACTCATGGAGAATTCGGCCTGGTACTTCTGACCTCCGTTCTCTGATCTACGACGCAGGGGGGGGTCGGCCGCCCCCTCCTTGGACAGAAGGAAAGTGTCCACACGGCTCCAGTACTGACACAGCAGGGTCACGTTCTGTCCTGAGGCCACCGTGGGTCCCGGCTGCACCGAGAGGGAGGGCAAGGAGGACAGCTGTCCTAGAGAGAGGAAGGCGGGGGAGGGGCTGTCCATCCCTGTTCCCAACTGAGTCTGTCTGTCCTCTGAGTCTCTCCCTTTTCCCCTCCCATCTCTCTCTCTCTCTCTCTCTCTCTCTCTCTCCCTCTCTCTCCCTCCCTGGGGACCCCACACCCCTGGTCCCGGCCACCACCCCCTGGGGCACCCCCAGCACGACCTGTGCAGGGTCTGGGGCCCTGACTGAACCCGTGTCCCCTCACCTGTGACCAGGATGTCCAGGGGGTCACTGGGGGCCGACCACTCGGAGGAGAGGTTGTGTCCACCATAGCAGGTGTACCGGCCCCCATGGGATCTGCTCACTGGGCCCAGCGGGAAGTCGGCCCCAGAGAGCCCAGCCTGGGGCTGCCAGCCTCGGTGCTGGGGGGGGTCACCCGAGTCCTCCTTGTGCAGAGCGAACCTGTCATAGCCGACATCTGAGCGACACTGGAGGGTCAGGCTCTGTCCAGGGGACACCACAGGGCCCTGCGGGGTCAGGAGGGAGGGCTTCCTGGACACACCTGGGAGAAGACCGGCCGTGGATGGAGGGGTGGTTCTCCCCACACCTCCCTTCTCCATCCTGACCCCCGGTCTCCCTGTCTCTCACCCTCTGTGTCTCTGACCTGTGAGATCCCCGTGGGCCCCTCACCCCACCTCTCATCTGAGGCTCCCCTGGGAGCAGAGCCTCCATAGCCTGTCTGCTGCCTCCAACATGGATGGGAAAAATCAGACTCTCCTACCTGAGACCAGGAGGTCCAGGGCGTCACTGGGCCGTGACCACACCTGTGGGGAGTTGCTGTAATAGCCATAGCATCTGAACATCCACCTGAGCCCGGGGGTCACAGGACCCACTGGGAACAGGGCCTGGAACTGCCCACTGGTGTGTCTCTGGGAGTCCAGGGTCGAGGAGGGCCTGGGTTCTCCTTCCTTCATCAGGACGAACCTGTCGAATTTCTCCCATGAGGCACACTGGAGGGTCACCTTCCCTCCTGAGGTCACGACGGGGCTGGGCAGGGCTGAGAGACTGGGTTTGCCACGGGATCCTAGGAGAGGAGGAGGGGATGTTAAATGGGGCTCAGATCCCCCCATGGTGTCCCCAGTACAGGGCTGTGAAAAGGAGACTCCTTGAGAACAGACCCCCTCCCTGAGGGCAGAGCCTGGGGCTGGGACCCTGAGGGGCTCGCACCTGTCACCACCAGCTCCAGGGGGTCACTGTGGTCTGACCAGCCAGAGGGACTTAGATAGTGACAGCGATACCGTCCTGCATGTACATCTGTCATGTGTGGGATGGAGAACTTGGCCTTGTCCCTAGGCTCCAGTGGCTTCTGTCTGTACCAGGTCACATAGTGTCCCTCTTTATCCAGATAGAACTGCTGGGCCTCTAGGATCCCCTGACACCAGATGGTCACAGGTGTCCCCCAGGGGACCACAGGGCCTGGCTCAGCCCAGATGGTGGGTGTGGGGAGGGTCCCTGGAAGGAAACAGAGGCTGGATCACGAGACCTTCCCCACCCCCAGTTCCCAGCTCAGCCCCGAACCCCTAGGCATCCCCTCTCCATCCACCAAGAACTGTTGTTCTCTATCCCCAGATGCCTGGTGGGTGACCCCTGTCCCCAGTGAGGAGGCGGGATGGGACCCCTGGGGACACACTCACCTGCCTGTGCTTGGGTCCTGGGGCCCACACTCAGCCCTGCAAGAGAGTCCCTGTGAGAGGTTTGCCCCGAATCCTGAGCAGAACCCTCCTCCCCATGAGCCTCCTGTGCCTGGGGTCACTGGCAGCCCAGGGCTTGGTTGTGAGGCGGGTCCCTCCCAGACTAGGGGGTCCCCTCCCCTCCTGAGATCTCACCGAGGAGGAGCAGGGCCGTGAGGGTGGGGGTCATGGCATCACTTTGAATCTGGCTCTGCAGATGGAGGAACCTCGATGCCTGCAGGACAGACAGACACACAGGGTGTGTCCACTTGGAGGCTGGTCTGCTTGGTCATGGGGTTGTACGTCAGCAGCCCCACAGGAAGGGGAACAACCCGCCCCAAGGACCCAAGTGTGGTGTCCATGGTGGTGCAGCAAATGGACCCAAGACTTCCTGAGACGCCCCGTCCAGGTGAGATCACAGCACATCCTTCCCTCCTAGAGCCTCCCATATGGGACCTCCTTCATTCTCAGCCCATCCCCAGGGGTCCTCACCACACGGGATCCCCAGGCCCCAGAGAGGCTACAGGGGATGAGGATTGTTGTGGTCTCATGTCAGTGCAGACACAACTGGGACATTTCTGCATGGTCAGGTCAGGATCACCGAGGTGATGCACACAGAGGAGAAATACAGGGAAATGGGGAAGGAAATGCAAACCCTCTCTTGGCCCCACTGTGGGCTTTCTAACTCAGGCTTCACGGACTTTTCTATTTTCCTGTGTCATCGTCCACCCCCCCCTTTCCTGGGAACATGCCTGTGAGTCCCTCCTGCTTCTTCAGTGCCCCTCATTCCTGGGCCAAAGCTTTCCTAGCGATTCTGAGGTCCTGCCTATAAACTTTAGGGGACACTTGCATGGAGGTACAGGTCACATTTTGAAGGAAAACAGATCTTCACTGAAATATTCCTGGATCATCCACTGTCAGCATGACCTTGGGGGGTAATATCCTCTCTCTGAGCCTCAGTTTCCCCATGTGAAGCATTTTGTCCTGAACTGCAAACCCCAGGGTGGTTGTGGGGGTTTGATGCCCGTGCAGAGGAGTGAAGAGTCACTGTGAGTTTCCAGTCCAGGTGAGATGAGCCTGGGCTGCGTCCTGATGAGGTGATGGGATCCGGGGGTCAGACTCTGCAGTCAGCTGGCTGGTTGATGCACCCACTGGAGACCTTGTCTGATCTGAAAGCCAAGATGCCACTCACAGTATGCTGAAATATGCGGCCACGGACACATGCAGAGAAACGGGAAATGAAATTTCCAAAACTGGAGTCGGAACCACAGCAGGGAGCAGAGACCAAAGCCGAGTTCCCACCGGTGCCTGGGACCATGCAGGGGTCATAGGGAGGGATTTTCCATCCCTGTGGATCCCGCGAGACCCCACGTCTTCTCACGGGGAATTATCAGCACCCCGGGGACGGTTGGAAGCTGGGCTCCACTCCCGCAAGTTTCTGGCTGGAAATCTGGAACACGTGCTCCTGGTCCGGATGGACTAACCCGCCGTGTGCCCTCAAACAGACTAAATCTGGTGCTGTCAGCTATGGGCATCTGTCCCGCGTGGGTGTGCGTGTGTCCGAAGCGGACTCTCATGTCTGGATCAGACAGACTCAAGGTCCAGTCGGGAGAAATGTGACGGTTAATGCAGGGAAACCGCACAAAAAAGGATCGTGAGGCCAGAAGGGGCAGCTGCCCCACCGCAGCTCCCTGGTCAAGCATCAGCAATCACTGACCCGCAGAGGAATCCTCAACAGTACGGGGTCCTCAAATACAGGCCCGAACAGGGAATGCCCGCAGGAGGACGGACAGGTGGAAGAAGCCGTTGCTCACCCTCGAGAATTCCGTTCACCATTCCCGGCCCGAAATGGGTCTGCTCTTCAGAGTCTGTGTCAACAGTGGTGACGTCATCCTACTCCCTCATTCACAATGACGTAAATACAAATGTTGACTTGTGTTTCTTTTATATCTGTATGGAGTCGCCCTTTCACGTTGGAAAACTTGTCCATTATCAAAACATATTCAGGAAGGTGAGTGTGGGACGGAAGTTGTGCAGACTGGGTCTTTGCTGACTCCGCCCACGAGCAGGAAACCCAAGGACGCATGCGCCGCCTGTGACTTCGCTTGCTCCTCCCACCAGCAGGAAACCCAAGGACGCATGTGCAGTGTTGCATCCCAGTCAGCCCTGCAAGGCCCGTGGCAGCACACGCAATGAAGGTGTAACTGTGCAGACCGAGTTCAGCTTCACTGTGACGTTGAGCACAAGGAGGAAAACAGGGGATTAGGGTGAGAAACATAACTCTTCTCCTGGCCCCCGCTGTGAGTTTTCTCCCTGCCAGAGCCCCGATCATGGATTTTCCTTTTATTCTTGCAACGGTGCCCACGCATCTTTCTAGAAACATAGTTCCGCGTGGTTTCTGCACCCCGGTGCTCCTTGTTGTTGTTCGCGGGTATCCCCGCATTGCTCTGGTCCTGCCCTCAGCTCCGTGTCAGTCGGTTGGGTTCGTGCTCTGAATATGAAGGGAAAGCTGACCTTTGTGTGAAGATTCAACTATCAGCCAGTGCCTGTGTGACCTTGGGCAATATCAGCCAGTCTCTGAGCCTCAGTTTCCTGCTTGGGAAAGGTTGTCATGAACCTGAGTGCTCAGAGCGGGTGTGGGGTCAGTGTTGTCATGTTCTTGGGGAGGCTCAGTCCTCGGTAATTCCAGTCCCGATGAAGACTGTGGGAAATGGTGCATGAATGGATGTGTTGTCTGTCTCCACTGTCCAGGTAGACAACGGATGGGCCCACTCAAGAGCCCTGGTTGGTTCCTAACACTGAGAGATGCTACTTATCATATTTCTGAACAATAAAGCCACAGCCAAGTGCAGCACAAGAGAAAAGAAGGTTCCCATATTGAGGAAACTCAACAGATAAAAAAGGACTAAGCTGAGTAGCCACCGGTATCTGGGACGAGCAAGGGGTCATCACTGTGGCTGATCTGCACTGAGTCATGGCCACGTGGATGCACAAGAGAATTCACTGTAATACAGACGCGGACCTCTGTGAGTGTGAGCCCTGCATTGGATCCATCCCTGCAAGACACAACCATGCGTGGACGCTAAGTTTGTGGGCGTGGATGCTCCGGGGCAGAAACAGCCGCAAGCATGCATGTCCACCTCATCGTGAATGATCCTGGCGCAGCTGTAGGAGGAAACCTGTAAGGAAGATGAGGTGTGTGGAAATGAGCCTTCCAGCAAGAGTGTACTGCAAAGAGGAGTCCTGATAAGAAGAAACAGCCACAAAGTCAATCTTCATGCTCGATGAGAATGCTGCTATCACATCCATGGACATACATTGCTAGGAATATGTAGACTTATCTTAAATTAAGCATGTGTTTCATATCAGAAAGATGATGGAGGAACTTCAATTTTAAAGAGAAACTTTATTTTTGAGAAAGAGAGAGAAAGAGACAGACACACAGGCACACAGAAAGCACGAGTAGGGGATGGGAAGAGAGAGAGGGACCGAGAATCAGAAGTAGGATGAGAGCTAAAAGCAGTGAGCCTGATGCACACCTCATAATCACAAACCCGAGATCATGTCCAGAGCTGAAGTGGAATGCTCAACCATCGGCACCACCCAGGCACCCCAGGAGCTTGAATTTTTGAGACAAGAATATGATTTGTACTTGAAGAAGAAGCAATTATAGAAATTATTAGAAATTTGAATGGTGAAAAATACGGTTAAATGAATATCCTTGGAGCTTTCATCCTATCAAGGGGAAGACATAGCTGAAGAGTTCATCAGGAAGAAGGAACACAATATTGAGGAAATTTTCCAGAATGAGGAATAGCGAGGCCAGAAATGGAGATTTCACGTACTTGGGAGCACAATGAGGAAGACTAAGGTCACATCTACTGTGTCAAAAAGAATGGTCAGAGAATGCCGTCTGCCCAAGAAGCAAGTAATTGGGCACTTTCCAAATATGAGGAAAGACCATTTAAATGGTAGTGGACACACATTGAAACTTAAAACACGTATGTTGACACTTCATAGTAAAATGAAGAAATCCCAGGTAAATTCGATTTTAAAACTCTTTTTAAAATTTATTTTGAGAGACAGAGAGACAGCGTGAGCAGGGGAGAATCAGAGAGAGAGAGATGGAGACACAGCATCTGAAACAGTCTCCAGACTCTGAGCTAGCTGTCAACACAGAGCCTGACGCAGGTCTCGAACCCACGAACCGAGAGATCATGACCTGAGTCGAAGCTGGTCACTTAACCGACTGAGCCCCCCAGGCGCCCCAGAATTTAAAAATCTTACACTGAATTGTACCTGTAAAAATGGTTAAGGTTATTCCTTGTGAATTTCACCTCAACTGAAAAATATGCAAGGAAGCCTGGTTGGGTCTACAAAAATGTCCTAAAATCACTTCCTGGGGAAAATGCAAATACTCCTCCAGGCTACGTTTCCCAAAGGTAAAAATGAGTGCCAGAGCTGTTGACAAATATCCCCAAGGAATGAAGTGTTGGTGGGGACTTGTATACTGAGCCAAATTACTACCTAGGGCAAAAGTGGAAGCATCTGCCAAGACAAATTCCTAAATTCCATGGAATCAGGTCAATTATCTTCCCTGTTAGGACTCATGTCCCATATGTTAAAGTCATCAGGTCAGGCTGTGCCTGAGATGCGGAGAGATGTGGAGGTTTAGTGGGTTAGTCCCTCATTCACCAGATGGTTTTCCTTTCCAAGCATATGGGTCTTGTCCTTCCCTTGAAATGAGACAAAGTTATGAAGTATCTGGATAAAGAGAGAGAACCCTATCTGCGAAAGGAAATCTTAATGGTGACTTCCAAAGTCTTCCATGCTATCCATTCTTTCCCACGCTTCCATTTTTTAACATAAATCTTCCTCAAACAAAGAAAGTCCGGGACGTCAAAAATAAGCTATGAGAAGAGAAGGTATCTTAATACATGTAATAAACGAGTACTTCAGTAATGGCAGAGATCATTCAAAAGTTTCAACTTATTACTGCACACTCACAGATTAGTTGATCTCCTCAGGCCTAGATCAAACCACATGTCTATAAAAAGAAGACCCAAATCTACTCACAATAAAATCTCCTCTAAAACAAAATCATTAGACATGTCCTCAATGAATAAAGTATGCTTTATTATTATTTAATAAAATTAGCTGCGAGGTATATAAATACTCACCAAGTTGAATGTAAAACAAAAATATTTTCGGGGCGCCTGGGTGGCTTAGTCGGTTAAGCGTCCGACTTTCGCTTAGGTCATGATCTTGCGGCTCATGGGTT